TCCAGGCCTCATCAGAGAGGCAACAGCTGATCAACAGCTGCCATGGAGGCTGTGAATCAGACTCTACCTCTCTCTCTGCACCTGATCCGCAGCCTTCTTGGCAGTCAGTGCTGGGTTGCCATGGTGACGCAGGACTGACTTCTGGTGTTTGATGGAGCCTTTGGTCCATATGGACCCTGGGTTTTTATATATTAGAATAGACAGTAGATTTCAAAACAATATTGAAAAACCATGAATTAACTATCTCCAGGTTAAGTGTAACAGCTTGTATTTTAAGGATTCATATAATTACTATTGTAAATTTTATCTTGCATACATTTTGGTGGTCATTTTTTGTTAGACATTCAGAAATATTTAGTCATAGCCTAAGAGGTAGTAAGCAATTGTGCTTGGTTCTGGGGCTACAAAGAATAAGGTTCCATTTCTTCCTACAAATGGCTTATAGTTTAGATTAGAAATGGGAACACAGGGGGTTGGCAGTGTTCATTCCTCCTTGAACAAGAGAAACAGGAAAGATTTCACAGAAGAGATGACATTTGAGTTGAGTTTTATAGATGAGGAGGTTTTCCCACATAAAAGATGAAACTGAAATAAGTATTCATTAGGCAAATGGAAGAGGCCATTCTAATTAGAGAACTGTGTACAGAAAACAGAAGGGTATGAAAAGGCCTGTTATGTTCAAGTACTTAACAGCAGTTCAGTATGGCCAGAGGGTAGCATGTGAATAGAGCTATAATGGAAGATTGAGGCAGAGGAATCAGAGACCCATTCAAGAAATTGTCTGTTTATAACAGGAAGTATAAAAATTGTGTAGGCAGTGGGAAAGCCATTAAAATATTTAAGTAAGCAAATAACAGAGCATATTTTTGTTATTTAAAAAACCTCTACACTTTAGTAAAGAAAGATGGATTTCAGTGTTGCCAGTCTGGAGTCAGGGAAATCAGTTGGGAGGTTAATGTAATAATCCAAGCAAGAATTGAATGCATGAAATAACCATAGATAATAGAGATGGACAGGAACAAGTATATAAAGACATTCGATGGTGGATTGGATTGAGGATCAAGATTAACCTTCTGGTTTGCAACTTGTGTAACTAGGCAGATGGGTAAGATTCCTCTTACAGAAATAATCTGTTTGGGAAGGATAATGGTTAAGTTCCATGTGGATAGATTGATTTAAAATCCTGTTGGACATCTAGTAGGCTATAGGAATATTGGGTTACATATAAAATTTTGGGACTTACCAGTATATAATTAAAACCTTTAAACTGGTGAGGTTGCCCAGAGAGAATTTTTAGAGCAGGAATTCTTTACTTGAAATCCAAATATTCTAAAATTACCCAAAATGTGTAAAGGTCCATAGCTTTCTTCAAATTGTCAGAAGGGGTAGTGTGAAAAGCGGCTAAGAATAGAGCCCTGAGTATCCACGTTCCTTTCAAGTGATAGGCTAGCATAATGGTTTCAGCAAAGAAGGCAGAAGAATAAGAGTGTAGAGAGAATCATGATATCAAAACCCAAGGAGAATCGTCAAGACAGATGAGAACTGCAGAATTGTTGGCTTAGCAATTAGAAGATTGGTAAAATGATTCCTGATAAACAATATGGAATTAAGTGTATATGAATTTTATGAAACTCCCCACAGAAACACCAGGGTTTCTAAGAATTATAATGAACATTAGCCTATAATAAAAGTTCAAATGCCTTAAGTGTCTAAGGCTATTAGTCTTTCACAGTGAAGTTTGTTCTACTTCCTCAGTCCCCTTTTCTGAATAACCTATATTTATTTCCCTCTTTATGTTCTAGTGGTATATATTGTAATGTTTGTTTTTATAGTTAGAATTGTACTGTTTTGCATTATTACTTATTTTACATATTATTGCCTTCTTTTACCAATGATATTTTACTCCTGAAGTTAGTATTACATTTCATCACATCCTCTAGTGACTGAGTTTTCACATACTAATTATTTTAGATACTAAAATATTTGAATAAATTTTTTAAAAAATGTATTTTCATTGATTTCAGAGAGGAAGGGAGAGTGAGATATAGAAACAGCAGTGATAAGAGAGAATCATTGATCACCTGCTTCCTGCACACACCCACCAGGAATCTAGCTAGAACCTGATCGGAAATTGAACCATGACTCCCTAGTTCATAGGTCAGTGCTCAACCATTAAGCCACACCAGCCAGGCAAATATCTGAATTTAACCTACAACAAACATAATGGAGGGGAAATGTCTTTAAGAAAAAATTCATATGATGCAATTCAAATTATACAGGAGTAATTTATAGATCATTATTATAACTATATTCCATTTCTGTGGGTAATCAAGAGTTGATTGTATATCAGAATGAATAAGATACTGATATATCAGACAAACTTTTTGGCTTTTATTTGGAATTTTAAGGTATTGAATTAATCAAATTTGTTAAGTCATACTGGTCTTTTTCCTGCTTAAAGTTAGTTTTTAAAATGGAAATATGTTTTTGAGATTTTAAAAATAAAAATACACATATAAAAGATAAAAGTCTACAAAGCAGAAATTACATATTACTGATATTTCTATACTATTGTCAAAGACACTAATGTTTTATAAGCATCTTTACTATTTGTACCATCTTTACTGATACCTACTACTAGGTACCAAGGTGATTAAATATAAAAGTTATTGTTTTGGAAGTAGACTTCAGTGATACGGTGTTTTTAATTTTGTTGAATGATTAATTTAGCTTGATCATCTGATTTGAAGCCAGTCTTTGCAACTTTTGGCGCTATCCAGAGCTATAGTAGGAAAAGCTATAATAGGAAAAGAAGATGAGCAAGGTTGTATTGCTTTGTTCTATTGATAGAATCAGAAAAATTAACACTTTAATAATTAAGGGAAATAGATGTTAGATACTGCCAAGTAGGTCTCATTGTTGCTGAGCAGATACCTGCTAACAATAACCCCAAATGTTAGAAGTTACCTAATAGGAGGGAGAAATCCATGTTATATGTTAGTGAACCAGATTAATAAATGTATGTCTAGACCAGGGGTCTGCAACCTTTAAGACATAAAGAGCCAGTTGGACCCGTTTCTGAAGGAAAAAAAAAACCTGGGAGCCGCAAAACCATTGCGACATTTAAAACAAATATAACACTGCATATATTGTTTCTTACCTTAATGCTATATACCGGATCGTGCAGTTAGCTGTCAATCTGAAGAAAAAAAGGACTTTTTCACTTAACAATGTAAAATATATTTTTGCAAATTAATAGCTAATTAAAATATTTAATTTACTTGGTTAATGGGATTTTTGCTCCTGAATCTCAGTGCACAGTGTCAGCACATTAGGGCTGTAAGACGTTACCTTCATTTTCACACAGGCTTGCAAGTTGTCGGAGCTGCAATAAAGCTTCAAAAGAGCCACAGGTTGCCGACACCTGGTCTTTTTTTGGGGGGGTGGGGGGGGGGAGGGCAAGAGGGAGTACAGTTTTGTGCATATCCTTCACACCATAATTTAACCATTTTTTTAAATGGAAAAAGCATTTTGATCGTTTTTCTAAAGAAGCAAAGTCTTTTAATTCACAAGCATTACTGTTTATTGAATAGAAATATAATAAAACATTAAGATGAAAACAGTGGAAAGAAAATAAGCTCACTCACTACCTAAGTAACTTACTCCTTCAAAGCTGCCTTAATGCTCCTCAGCCCGATTCATACCTCCTTAATATGTCTATTGCCACATTTCCTAGACCTTCGAGTTATTTGGCATTACTAAATTATAAGTCATAAAACAGCTTCATGGGCATCCTTACTTTATAATAAAAACTTTATTAAATAAAGTTTCAGAGCATTTTACCTGAGGGCACATGGATATATGTTGGTTATTCCAGAGGACAAAGGAAAAATTTGAGAGACTTCAGAATTATTTTATTATATACACTTGACCATCCAACTTTAAGGAAAGAAAATATAGTCAAGTCACTGGGATAGGAAGGCAAGATTCCAGCTACCATGGTGGTCAACAGTAGTTTGAGGGATAAATCAAATAATGGGTAGTTTGAATGTTTGCTACCTAATCCAATCATGATTGAATCTAAGGTAAAAATTCTCTGGAATCATGCTGTCCATTAGAAATATAATTTGGCCTACATACGTGTAATTTTAAATTTTCTAGTAACCACGTTGAACAAAATAAAAGGAAACAACTGAAATTACCTTCAATAATATATTTAATCTAGTCCAACATATCCAAACTATTTTAAAGAATAATCAATATTTTTAAAAAGTTAAAAAGAGATGTTTTACATTTTTGTGTGCTATGTCTGAAATTCAGTGTATTACCTAAAGCACAACTCAATTTGGACTTAGCCACATTTCAGGTTCTTGGAAAGTGTATCTTTAGAACATCTTCTATAAAGATTTTATGTAATATACAGAAACAAAGTTTTATTTTTATGATCTGTACTTCAATTGCTAGAAATCTGTCTATATATTCTGATCTTTAAATAAAATGATGATGGATACCTTACTGTCTTTTTTTTAAATGTATTTTTATTGACTTCAGAGAGGAAGAGAGAGGGAAAGTTAGAAACATCAATGGTGAGAGAGAATCATTGATCAGCTGCCCCTTGCATGGCCCCTACTGGAGATTGAGCCCGAAACCTGGGCATGTGCCCTTGACTGGAATTGAACTTGGGACCTTTCAGTCCACCAGCTGACACTCTATCTAATGAGCCAAACCAGCTAGGGCAGTGATTGGCAAACTCATTAGTCAACAGAGCCAAATGTCAACAGTATGATTGAAATTTCTTTTGAGAGCCACATTTTTTAAACTTAAACTTCTTCTAACGCCACTTCTTCAAAATAGACTCACCCAGGCCTTGGTATTTTGTGGATGATGTGGCTCGAGAGCCGACCACAGAGCTAGGGCATACTTTACTCTTTACAATATTAAATTACTTTAAATAATTGAGATTGACATAATCTGATTTGTGTTTTCTTTTGTATTTTAAGGATATGGAATATTATCTTGTAAAATGGAAAGGATGGCCAGATTCTACAAATACTTGGGAACCTTTGCAAAATCTCAAGTGCCCATTACTACTTCAGCAATTCTCTAATGACAAGCATAATTATTTATCTCGGGTAAAGAAAGGCAAAGCAATAACTCTAAACAATAACAAAGCTTTGGAACCCGCCATTGCTGAATACATTGTAAAGAAGGCTAAACAAAGGATAGCTCTGCAAAGATGGCAAGATGAACTCAACAGAAGGAAAAATCATAAAGGAATGATTTTTGTTGAAAATACTGTTGACTTAGAGGGCCCACCTTCAGACTTCTTCTACATTAATGAATACAAACCTACTCCTGGAATCAGCTTAGTAAACGAAGCTACCTTTGGTTGTTCATGCACAGATTGCTTCTTTGAGAAATGTTGTCCTGCTGAAGCTGGAGTTCTTTTGGCTTATAATAAAAACCAACAAATTAAAATCCCACCTGGTACCCCTATTTATGAATGCAACTCAAGATGCCAATGTGGACCTGATTGTCCCAATAGGATTGTACAGAAAGGCACACAGTATTCACTTTGCATCTTTCGAACTAGTAATGGCCGTGGCTGGGGTGTAAAAACCCTTGTGAAGATTAAAAGAATGAGTTTTGTCATGGAATATGTTGGAGAGGTACGTTCAACTTATCACACAGCAAATGATGTGTGTGAACTGTTTATACTTTTTTTTTCTGTTTACACTTTTAAAAAGTTATCTTTTTATCTCAGTAACAAATTTTTGATACATTTCTATATCATTTGCAAATATGCAGAAATTTTACATTTGAAAGAAGGGTCCACAGTTATTTGGAATTGGATCAGTAGCATAGTTAGAAATATAAACTTGAATAAACAAAAGAAATATATGTACATTGACAAATGAGATACAGTCACCTTTCAACAAATATCCATTATAGTCAATGTAAGTGACATTTGTGAAGTTTAAAATATGACAATTATTTTTACACTAATTTCTAAGAAGAAAATGAGATCTAAACATATGCTAACTTTGAGACTTTTATAATATACTGCATTAATTTGACCAAATATTGGTTAAATATATTTGCCAAAACTTAAGTTTTGTTTCAGCTTGAAAGATAGAGTAGACCAGTGTTTTATGAGCAAGTGCTGTAGGATAAACATAAAAACATTTATTGTGTCCATAAGAAAATCCAAATAAACTCTTTGTAACTCAGCTACAAAGACTACTTTCTACATTATCAAATACTAAACAAATTTATTTTTATACATATAATATGTATATATGCAAAAGTATTATTTCCCTATATATTAACAAATTAATTCTCTCAACTCTAAGGTAGTGTCTCCATTCTTTTTATTATTATTATTATTTATTTTTATTGATTATGGTCTCACATAATTGTCCTTATTCCCCCATTCCCATCCCAAACCCCTCCCTAGATATGCCCCCTTCCCCCCCCCCCCCCCCCGTTGTCCATGGCCACTGGCTAGGCCCATATGTATGCACACAAGTCCTTTGGTTGATCTCTTCCCCTTACTCCCATCCCCTCCTTACTTCCCTCTGATGTTTGAGAGTCTGATCGCTTGTTCTCTTTTTCTGGGTCTGTTTGTGTTGTTCATTATTTCCTCTAGATGTGTGAGATCATGTGATCCAAGAAATGCCCTTGTAAGAACCTAAACTGCAACAAGCCATAATGGTTATGCTGAGAGGCAAATGAATCAGTCTGTAGTGAGTTCCTTTCTGGGCCAACAGTTCTTTTGCGTCCCGATTTCAATGCCGGATAGTTCCGTATGTGTACATGTCAGCCATGATATTTCAGATCTGGTTGGTGGACAATTGGCGGTAACTCAGGTCCGCCTGTCTCTGGTTTGGTTCTGGGCATCCTTCAGCAACCTGCAGCTGCTGTCGGCTGGTATGCTGAGGCGTCATCAGCATCTTCCATCTCTGAATTGTGTCTCTTCTGTCTTCATGGCTGGAGCGCTTCTGTCTATTGCTCTCTGTTACAGAATTCCAGATGGTCTCAGAGTTGTTTTCTGAAAATATACAAACATATTCTCGACCAAAAGTTAATAAAGGGATATTTTCTTTAAATTTTATTTGGGATTTTTTTACATTTTTTTCCCCCCAAATGATTTTCCCCTGGCTTGTTTTGTCACCATGTGTGTATTTTCATGGGTATCTTGCTATTAGCGTTTCGAATGAAGGTTAATTTTCTAAAGCACAAATTTTTTAGATGTAAATTATTCTCAGGATATATTTCCTTATATGATATTCTTCCACTGTCACCCCCTTTTTTACTTTAAATAATAGAAAACTTTTGGAAATTTTATACTGTAGTCTTGATAGCTTTTACATTTTAAGTTATTTGCGCTACAGTATGACTACTTTAGATTCATAACATGTGCAATTTTACCGTGGCCACTCTGCCAATAAGAATTTTTGTTTTTAGAATATTCATTTATTTCCATTAGCCACATTACTTTCCTCTGAGAAATTGGCTACCATTCATCTGTCTTACTCAACACTCTAGCATCAATCTCATTTACTATGTGTGTATTAGTGGAGTTGATTATTTCCCTTCTTGAGAAGGGCCTGAGCATTCCTGCTGCTAGGCTGGACTTGGATATTAAAAACCCACTTGCCCCCACCATGGGTATGAGACCTCTCAAATAAGTCTTGTTGCAGTGAGAGGGCAGCTGCTGTCAGCCAAGTCTCTGTCTGTTACCTGGGTCCTACTTTGAGCTGTGGGAAGCGAAGCATGGGAAGCGAAGCAGCCAAGGGGGCAGGAGACCTCCCTCAGAATGGGAGAAGGTTCAGGCACCTGCCATGTTGCAGGGGGGGTCGGTAAGGGTCTGTGCCCCACCTCTGTTGACCCCCAACTTCTCTCCTGATGGCCCCTCTGCGACTGTGCCTGTCTTTTGGTTGTTCCTTCCTTGAGGAATCTTACCCGTCTCTGGCTAACCAGCCATCCTCTGGGGCCAAGCAGGGTGATGTGAGGTTTAGTTCTGTCTGCTTGGTAGTCTGAGCCCCCATGGGCTCCACACCCAGCACCTGCCTCGGGAACCCCTCACCTGCTGGCAGGGCCCAGGCATTGATCTCATATTTTTGGGAACCCATGTTACTTTTCCAGAGAGGGCCCAGCTCCCCCCACTGGGTGGGCAAGAGATCCGTGGTACCAGCCACCATGGTGCTTCAGCCTTGGCATGAACTGAAAGGTCAGGCAACAATTGTGGGCACCTGGACCACAAGAAGAGGTTCATTTTTGGCCAAAAGGGCAAGATGGGCCACTATAGAATGCTCAGGTGCCTTCCCAGGGGGCCCTCTGCATAGTGGAAGGGATGAAGTCCTTTCATGTCGTTTTTAAATTGCTGCCAGACGTTCAAAGAATTAGTTTGTATGTTTGTTTGGGGAAATTGTACAATGTGCTGTTGTAATTCTAAAATATCTAGAGCTGTGTTACCTTTGTCTCCAAGCACCAGCCAAAAAAATAAATATATATATATATATATATATATATATATATATATATATATATATATAAAATAAAATAAAGTAAATGACTTTTTTTTATTGATACCCATGGTGCAAGGTACTATTATACTATTATAGGTAATGGGATAACCCAGATGTGGGAAAAATTATAGTGACCTTGTGGAATAATATTATGTAAGGATATTTTTTGCTCTAGGCCCTGGAAATTCCATTTTAAACTGGCCGTCAATTTCTTTTTGTATAGACAAGGTCTTTGTTTCATTTTCTACACCTCTCCCAGGAGGAGGGAGTGATGATCCCTTCCTTTGGTGTCCTCATCAGCTAGAAACCTCTGTTTAATTTTACACACAAAGGAACAGTGGTTTAATTCTGTGTCATACAGAAGGGGAGATGGGTGGTGACCCCTATGTAATTATACTTTTTTGTCCCACCTGTGGTCCTCCTGGATGACCAAGGTATCATCTCCATTCTTATAGTCAAGGAAACAGGCACAGAGAAATTAAGTACTTTGCTCAAGGACACACAGTAGTGAAGTGTAATGACTCAAAACCAAAGCTCAAAAAATCAGTGCACTTCACCACTTCCTCAAACTGATGGTGGGTTAAGCTGTAACTAGAAAAATATGAGTATGACTGCATATCTGGTCTGTCAAATCTGACATTTTAAAAGTTGTTTGGAATTGGATCACCTAATTTTGAGATTAAATTGGATCCCTATATTTTTAGACAATGGTAGATTATTATAAATCACTGTTTAGGATACTAAATCTTTTATAATTCAATTCTCTTTTTTTGCTTAAAAAGCACAGCAGTTAAATTTGGTTGGCACTATAAATCACCACAGACAGACTTTTTTTTTTAAATCCTCACCCACAGATATTTTTTCCCATTGATTTTGAGAGAGAGTGGAAGGGAGGGGGAGAGAGAGATACATTGAGGTGAGAGAGACACATTGAGGTGCGAGAGACACATGGATTGGTTGCCTCCCTCACACATGCTGACCTGGCCAGGGATCTAGCCTGCAACCAAAGTACATGCCCTTGACCAGAATCACATCTCCCACACTTCATTCCATGGGCCAACGCTCTAACCACTGAACCAACCAGCGAGGGGGACATATTTTGTTTCTTTTTCTTTTTTTAATATGTTTTATTGATTTTTTACAGAGAGGAAGGGAGAGAGATAGAGAGCTAGAAACGTCGATGAGAGAGAAACATCGACCAGCTGCTTCTTGCACACCCCCTACCGGGGATGTGCCCGCAACCAACGTACATGCCCCTGACCGAAATCTAACCTGGGATCTTTCAGTCCGCAGACCGACGCTCTACCACAGGACCAAACTGGCTTCGGCCATATTTTGTTTCTTAAGCTGAGCATGTAGTAAAGCTATGTTGTTAAGAGCAGATTTGTAAGTGATGGTTTTGAGCTGCCGAAATTTCATGAAAACAACCTATTCCTATAAAATAAAACTTTCCATACAATTGACTGCAAATTAACGTACCTTTTCTCCTTTGTTTTTAATAAATTTCCCTTTGTAACTGCACAAGATTAGTTATAGGAAAAATGTCCCTTTAGAGCACATATACTTGTAAACTTGGTGCTTTGCATTCTGTTATGTCTTACAAAGAGCTATAGTTATGTCGCATTTTGAACATCTCAATAGATTGGAATAAAAGTAGTACATGATTTCAGCTTCATTGTTAAATGGTCCTAATTCCTATTTAAATAGTCATAATTCTTTTGCACCATCATTTTTACTCCCTTTGTTTTCCCACCTCTTTCTGTCTGGCTCTTCTAGAGTCATTTGTGTGAATGTATATTTTGATGACACTTTATTTTTAAATATTTATAGACACTACCATGTTAATTAATAGATTTATGGATAAGAGTTTCTTCGCTTCAGCAGTATCTATATAATATACTATAGTTTTTTTAATTTTTAGGTAATCACAAGTGAAGAAGCTGAAAGACGGGGGCAGTTATATGACAACAAAGGAATCACATATCTCTTTGATCTGGATTATGAATCTGATGAATTCACAGTGGATGCAGCTCGATATGGAAATGTGTCCCATTTTGTGAATCACAGTGTAAGAAATACGGAAAGTATAGGCAGAACTAATTAGTACTGTGTTTAATGTTTTGAACCACAGACTCTTAATATTTCCAAAGTATTTTAGTACAAGGACTTCTTATGTTAAGCCATGGGATTATCGCTGTGTTAGAAAAATTCATTTGGAAAATTCAAAATGCAAATACTATGTATTTTGCAAGTCTTTACATATGTTACTTAAACTTTTCAACAACTTCATAAGATAGTTATCCTCAGAGGAAGAAATGAGCAGAGAAGTTAAGAGGTAGAAAATAGAAAGTTTAAGGAACACATACAACTATAAAGAAGCTAACACAGCTAAATTTTTGGATATATAATTAAAGATAGTTGTATTCTCTTAAAATATAAATACGTTGATATTTTTATAAGATTTACATATTTATAGAGTATTGAAATAGTATTTAGGGCTATTTTTCTAAATTATAAGTTAGTATTCTTAAGTATTAGTCTTATAAGATTGACATCTCCATTTTATAGATTGCAAGGAAATGTATCTAGAGAGTAAGCTGACCATATAAGGTAGTAGACTGTGTTAAACTTTTGATGGGTTTTATACCAAAAAGCTAATTTTAACTAGTAATGAAATGCCAGAGACCTTCTGACTCCCTTCTTTCTGATTTACTTAAATTTTTACTTTAATCTTGTTCTTAATAATAAATTTGGGATACTCCATATCTCCAGTATTACATATCCCAGAATTTAGTGTATAGTTCTCAATATGATCAAACAATTTCAAGCAAGAGTAATGAAACTGCTGAAACCGGTTTGGCTCAGTGGATAGAGCGTTGGCCTGAGGACTGAAAGGTCCCGGGTTCAATTTCGGTGAAGGGCATGTACCTTGGTTGCGGGCACATCCCCAGTAGTGGGTGTGCAAGAGGCAGCTGATCGATGATTCTGTCTTATCGATATATCTAACGCTCTATGTCTCTTCCTCTTTGTAAAATATCAATAAAATATATATTTTTAAAAAAATATATCCCATGCAATATGAAATTTGTGTTCTACAGTACTGACTTGATTTATTAAATGCAGTTGTTCTAATTCTTTAAATATGCTTTACTGAGTGAAATATTGACAGGTGTATTGATAATGTTATCTGTTTTTGCAATAACATTATCCAGAAAAAATTAAAAGGTCAGAATAGATTAAACAAGATTGGCAAAAATGTTGATAATTTTTGAAGCTGCATAGTGGATTCATGTGGACTTATATTATTCTCTATAGTTTAATGTATGTCTGAAATTTTCTATAAGTTTGAAAACATTATTTTTACATTATCATATCTCAAAGACCTCCAAATAATCAATTTCCAGGATATCTTAAAAAAAAATACTCTGGACAACTGAAAATTTTATATGGATGTAGAAGAGTTTATTCACATCATTTTTACTTAAATGGGTTCTAATATTCTTTTTTAGTGTGACCCAAATCTTCAGGTGTTCAATGTTTTCATTGATAACCTCGATACTCGTCTTCCCCGAATAGCATTATTTTCCACAAGAACCATAAATGCTGGAGAAGAGCTCACTTTTGATTATCAAATGAAAGGTATAGTTTTCAAGTACAGTTTTGTTATTATTTTAGTATAGAGAATCTGTTCAAGAATAGGAAAAGACTAGATCATCTGAACCAGTATTAAAGATGAAAATAGTGAGGTTTGTCTTTTTATTCAAGGTCTCAAAGCTAACCTTACAAAGCTAAAACTGGAATCCAGGTCTGCCTTGAGCTGAGTGATTTAATTTCTTATTCAGCACATTGCTAACTTCCATTATGGAAACCTACTTATTCTAACATCTTTTCTCAGTACTACTTGGATTTAAAAAATTGGAAGCCTACATTTCTGAATCTTTACTAAGAGATGGATTTTTTTCTTTTGTTTTTTGAGATGAATATTCTTAATAAAGAGAATTGAAAGATTGAAAAATGTGATTTAAATCACACATGAACTTATTCCATTCCTACTGGAATTTGGCTTTTAAAAAGAACATTTAGTCCTATTTACTTTATTGTGATACTATAAATAAGCATGATGCCTTTTACCTATTGTTACTACTTGATTTTATTTATGGCTCTTAAATAATGTATGAAATGAATAATTGTGTATTGGATTTTCCCAGAAAGTTGCATCATTTCAGAAATCTATTCTCATAAATATGGGCTAATAACATAAACTTTACCTCTTATTAGCCTACACCAGTGGTGGGTAAACCGTGGCTTGCGAGCCACATGCGGCTCTTTGGCACCTTGAGTGTGGCTCTTTCACAAAATACCATATGCAGGCGCGCACATACAGTGTGATTGAAACTTCATGTGCAGAAGACAGTTTTCAGCCTGGGCGAGTCTATTTTGAAGTGATTCTAACACCGAGCCATACTCAAGAAGCCAAAGAACCACATGTGGCTTGTGAGCTGCGGTTTTCTGACCGCTGGCCTCGACCATCCTTTCAAGACAATTCATAATGATTTTTCTGTGAATATTCACATTTATTTAATGCTGATAGAAAATTTGAAACTCATTCTGAATTGCCTTAACTATCTTTCTCCTGTATTTCTTTCTCTACATATTCAGGTTCTGGAGATATATCTTCAGACTCTATTGACTACGGCCCAGCTAAAAAGAGAGTCAGAACTGTGTGCAAATGTGGAGCTGTGACTTGCAGAGGTTACCTCAACTGAATTTTCAGGAAAAAGAGCTGAGGATAAATGTAGTTTTGTTTTTTACCAATGTTAACATTTTTAAAAATAAATATTTGGGACTCTTCATATTATCAAGATTATATACTATGTTAATTTACAATTCCTGTTTCAAACTATTGGCTAAATGCATCATTGATGCTTCTGAAGAGAGGAACACAAGGTCACATAGACCAATTTGAAATATACCTAATTAGTGGTTAGATACCAAAGAAAGGAATACTACTATAGGTCAGCATATACATACTTAAGAAGTCTGTGTGAATAGAAAAATGCCTCCTTCAGTGTTTTAAGTGTTAAACTGATAATGTCACGAACACTAAGATCAAACATTCAATTTGCTATATACCTTGAATTTAGAGAACTAGTAAAGTTCTATTTTTGTTATGTTGTTCCTATTTACCTATTTATTACTATAAATATTGTTACTTGTGTTGGAGACAAATAGATGATACTGAATTATACCGTTTTCTACATCTTTCATTAAAACATTGAGATCTTAATGATACTGAAATTTAAGGTCTAAAATTAAATGTGAAAAAAATTAATTACAGGTTTATTTCATATTTTGAAGCAACTTAGACCATTATTTGAAGGGTATATGTTTGAACCAGTAATCCTATAGGAGAAAAATCTCCCAAAAGTTCTGAAATTCTAGAATAGTTGGTCATTAATTCTTCTTGGAAATGACACAGCAATGGGAGCAAGGAGGTTTTTTTTTTTTTTTTTTGGAGTACCAGGCAAGGGCAATGGGATACTTTAAGGGTCCTTTTCAAAAACATAAATTTGGAGATTCATGTGTGTACTTCTGGTCCAGACAGTAAAACAAGATACCCCTGAGAGCAGCTGTACTTAATATAACATTCACATAACACTTTCTGAATATAAGACTGTTTTGAACATTTCCTTTATACGAAATTTAACTATTTTTATATTTTCTACAAGATCTTCTTTAAAAATAATCTATATTTTGAAATGATACCTATTTTATATGTGAGTTTTTAAAATGTGACAAAGCTAAACTTGGCTTGGCCAAAGTGTGTGCCTGAATTATAAGACCATTTATTACTTGAACTATGAAGACTGAAATGGAATATATTCATTGTTGGTTTTGTTTACTTTCCATAGTAAAACCTCAAAATGGTGTTTTCATCTCTTTCTGATTCTGGGTTTTCTATTGTTATTTCTTTCTGATTCTGCGTTTTCTAATCCTGGTGTTCAACATAAAAGTAAGGCAGCAAATAAATCTAGCTCATTGCCCTAGGCTTTAAGGACGTAAAATAAGCTTTAGTAATTGAACTGATTTCAAGAATGCAGCATTTTAAATATTTTCTTTTTAAAAAAATATTTGTATTTAAAATATCTTAATTTCTAACCTTTTTTGGGGAAAAGCTACATTTAATTATTATATTGTTATTATGGCTTTGTTTTTTCATAATATAGGGTAAATTGTTTACATGTTTAGAACTTCAGAGTATATTTGCTAACCAAAATTTGCAGAAGGTGTGAAAAAAAAATGACATGGTATCAGTGTTGAGAGAGCATCATTGATTTTACAGGTTGCTCCCCTTGGCCAAGCATTCTTTGAATTATAATTGGTAAGTTTAAAGATGTGATTTTCATTTTTTTTAAAGTCTATTTCACTGCCTACTTAATCTTGTCTACTTTTTGTGTTAAAAATATAAAACAGGAGGGCAAAGGGAAAATGGTTATTTTCAGTCAACTGTATTGTTATTAATAGAAATTTAATGGGCCTTTGAGATTTTAATTACCTGTGTTACCCTTATGTTATTAAATAGCTGAACTCTGGTAGAAAAATCAATATTTAGCTTTTTTACATTAGTTTCCTAAGTTGTCATAATTTTTTCTCTCAATATAAAGCAAATATTCAGTGGTAGTATTTACATTAAGTTTAAACTGTCAGTTAATCCACTGTAGAAGTACTATTAATACCATTGTTTTCGGTTTCTACAGATGAAGATTGTATAATAATACACAATTGGTAATCTCAGGCTTTTTCCATATATGCAAAATCTATACAGCACTTATTATTCTTATACTAGAGGCCGGATGCACGAAATTCATGCACATGTGTGTGCGGGGGGGGGGGGGGAGGGGTGTCCCTCAGCCCAGCCTTCACCCTCTCCCATCTGGGACCCCTTGAGGGATGCCCAGTGGGGTCGGACATCCCTCTCACAATCCAGGACTGCTGACTTCCAACTGCTTGACTGCCTGCCTTCCTGATTGCCCCTAACTGCTTCTGCCTGCCAGCCTGATCACCCCCTAACTACACCCCTGCCAAATTGATTGATGCCTAACAGTGCCCCTGTTTGCCCTAAATGCCCTCCCTTGCAGGCTTGGTCCCCCCCAACTTCTCTCTACTGCAGGCCTGGGTCCCCCCAAACTGTCCTTCCCTTGAGGTCCGGTCATCTCCAACTTCCCTCCTCTGTCAGCCTGGTCACCCCTAACTGCCCTCCCCTGCATGCCTGGTCTCCCCCTTCCCACCCAACTGCTTTCCACTGCAGTCCTGGTCCCCCTCAACTGCTCTCCACTGCAGGCCTGGGTCCTCCCATCTGCTCTTCCCTGCATGCCCAGTCACTCCCAAATTCCCTCCTATGCCAGCCTGGTCCCTCCAGACTGCCCTTCCCTGCTGGCCATCTTGTGGTGGCCATCGTGTCCACATGGGGGCAGCAGTCTTGTGTGTTGCCATGATGGTCAATCTGCATATTACTCTTTTATTAGGTAGGATAGAGGCCTAGTGCACAATGGAGGCCACCTGGTTTGCCCTGAAGAATGTCCCAATCAGGGTAGGGTTCCCTTGGGGTGTGGGGCAGCCTGGGTGAGGGGCCTGTGGTGATTTGCAGGCCGGCCATGCCCCCTGGCGACCCAAGCAGAGGCCCTGGTATCTGGGGTTTATCTATCTTCTACAATTGAAACTTTGTAGCCTTAAGCAGAGGGTATGTGGAAAGCTTGGCTTCCTCTACTGCCGGGGGCAACCCTAACCCCCGCATTTCCAGTTCTGTTGCTGCTACCATTTGTTTGGATTTGTTTACATTCTATAACTGAAACTTTATAGCCTTGACTGGAGGCCAAGGCTGGCAAGGGCAGGCGGAAAGCTTGGCTTCCTCCATTGCCTGGGAAACCCAAGCCTCCCTCCTGCTCTCTGTGGCTGTAGCCACCTTGGTTGGGTTTATTTGCATATTTGCTCCTGATTGGCTGGTGGGTGTGGCTGATGGGTGTAGTGGATTGTTAATTTGCATATTACTCTTTTATTAGATAGGGTTTCAGTAGGGTTTTTTTAGCAAATAAATTTAGACATTTGATTTTCTATTTATCATAGGTTAGCTTTGTTTCTGAATATTTTACTATCTTTTCCAGACTACAAAAAGGATACAAAAATACTGATGTATTCCTGACTACTTGCTGTTGAGATTAACCAAAGGTTTATATAGCATTCCTTGCAATGTTAGATTTCGTTTTGAACAGTTTATTGTTGTCATAGTTCATGCATTTGGATATTAAACTATAATTTTACACTTAGCATAATGTGAATGGATATTTCTCAAAATTGTTTGAGCATTATTATCAAATATTTAAACTAGTTTCACTAAGTAATGCCTAGAACTGTAAAGGAATTTTAGAATTAGAGCTAAGAAATATTCCTTGAGCAAGTCTTAGGCCTTTATATGTACTCAAATCTATGAGTTTGGTGCTGTCATCCCTATAGTACACCATAGGAAATATTTTAGACTGATTAAGTAATATTAACATGCCCAAGATCACCCAGTAAACTATTCCTATATTTAATTAATTTAACAACTTCAGGCATACGTTTAAAAAAATAAATTTCTATGAGTTTAAATGAACTTATAAGCCTTGGATTCATCTCTAAGGCAAATGGGGCTAGCCACTGGATTTCTTCTGTGATGTATCTTGGCATTTTGAAACTTTTTTTGCCTTTCTAGTACTTTATAGTTCCTGAAGTAAAACATCAAGTAGTCACTGCCCAATCCTGCTCACTGTTGAGCTCTTTTTGAGGGGCCTTATTGCATAGTGATTAAAACATGGATTCGGGCCTGAATTGCCTAGCTTTAACCAGTACTATCTATGTAAACCAACCTCTGTGCCTTAACCTCCTCATCTTTGAATAAGAATAATGAATGTATTTACACTAGAGGCCTGGTGCACGAATTCATGCACAGGTGGGGTCCGGCCTGCCTGCCCCCATCCAGGCTGTCAGCCTGGTCAGCCAGGGGAAGGGCTGTGGGTGGTTGGTGGGCTGAACTCCCAGTTGAACTCCTGGTCGAGGGGACAATTTATATATTAGACTTTTATTATATAGAATACTTCAAAGCGTGTTGTGAGGATTAAAAGTGTGAGAGAAGGAGAATCCAAGATGGCTGCACAGGTAAACACCTAGCCGCAGCCCCACACAATTTCAATAAAATACAACTAACATATAAAATGGACATTACCCAGAATTACAGGAAAGTCGACTGACTAGAAATTCTACAATGAGAAGCAAGGAGAAAACCAGAAGGAAGAGCGGAGGAGCTGTAAAAGCTTAAGGTACGGAGACACGTGGCGCACGTGGAGAGGCAGTCCTGGAGGCGCGCACAGTGTGCGCAGAGGACGGACTGTTGACTCTGCTGCCAGATTACCCTGTCGGGAAGGAGACAAAGGCTCCGGACTGTGCTGGGCCCCAGTTCCGATTCCTCTGACCCCAGTTCTAGGCCAAACCCCGGGGACTCAGGCTCAAACAGAGGGAGCTGGGCTGTAAGGCGGAACCCCGGGGGAGCGGCAAAAGGAGGTCTTGGAGGCACGCACATTGCACGCAGAGAAGGGATGGTTGGCTGTGCCGCGGGATTGCCCTGGCGGGAAGGAGACAGGGGCTCCAGACTACTCTGAACACCACCTCCAACCCCACTTCCAACTGAACTGAACCCCAGTTCCGGGCTCATTGGGGGAGAGCCTACACTGTT